CATTCCTGCATAAACAGCACATGGATGAGGCACAAACGATTCCATCTGTGCATGTAATGAGTGTGTGTATTGAACATCTCATCAGAGCATTTAAAATTCAAAGCATCTGCTCCCAAATATAGAAGGGTGGAACTCAGGCTCTCCTAGCAAAGCATTTACTTTACTAGGTGAAGGCTATTCACCTGGTAGCGAGGCGGCCAAATTCAGCTTTCGAAAGTCCTGCTAACTGGCACACCAACAGTGCTAGTGAACTTACACACACAGATGTGCGCTGGAGAACTGGGGAAGGTGGAAAGACTGGGCTGGGGAGCACCCCCAGAGAGCCAGTTCCTCACCCCACCTGGAGTCACTGGTGCTGACGCAGTGGGTCTTCTCCCATCAGGGGGCCTGCTGCGAGCTGAGCTCTGGGAAACATCTTTTTCCCCAGACCCTGGGGTTGACATAGGTCATGGGTGAGGACCTCCTGTCCACTTGGCGTGGATACAGTGCTTCCCCCACCCTCCCAGTTCCTAGCTTTTATCCTGTTTGTCTCGCTTGCAATTACAGGATGAGCCCTGAAGGATGCACTGCATTCCTTCCTGCCCTTCTCTCCCTTCTTCTTCCAAAATGCTTACTGGGACTTGTGTCCTTAAGGCCACAAAGAGAAGGACTATTTTTCACCTTGTATTTGGCCTACAGAGCCTGGAGCTGTTCAACGAGGTTGTGGCAAAAGTCAAGTATTTTCAAGTGAGCCAATGAGCTGATGGCTGTGGGCGGGTACTCCAGACAACTATTCTCCATATGCAGTTCTTTCAGATTACAGAAAATATGTGGATGTAACTTTTAACAATTAAAGGATTTTTCCTTAGCTTGGTATGTAATTAATGTACAGAGAATATGAGTAAGTGCAGAAGTAACCTTTATAAACTGAGATACCATTTGGATGACTACTAAACACAGAGAGACAACCTGGGTTTCAAACACTGAGTTTTGATAATAATGCTATTCTGACAGCCCTGGCCTGATGCTGCACTGTGTACCTAAAGAGATTAGGAGAACCTTCTTTCCTGCATTTGGGAGCAGCTGAAGTCCATGGAAGTGCCATGCTGCAGCAGAGCGAGACCTTGCCCCTTCTATTGCTCCTACCTGCAATTTGCTGGTGTCTTCTGGCAGACTGGTGAATTTAATTCCTTCATCTTGTCGAGGTATAATCTCTCTAATGACTCCAGGAGAAAGATTTCGTTTGGAAAGATACTGAATTGGTTTTCAGACAGTCTAAGGCATTTCAAATTTGTCAGTTCTTTCGCCTCCACAGGTATCTAGACACAGTCATTAAAAAGAGACATTATGTCAATTAAACAGTAATCTGTGGGATTTTGTTTTTAGAGGAAAAATCTCCAAGAAAATGCTCTGGAGCTGCATTACTGTTGATGGATGAATGCAGAATATTCTGCTCATTAATATAATATTATACCTCACAGTATGGTGGAAATTTTGACAAAAAAGTCCATGTTGTTTCCTCTGCTGGAAAGATTTCTTATGGGGTTAATTTTATTTCTTAGCAGAAACATTAGTCTGCTTCTTCATTTCCTTTGTGTGCACAGTGCAGGGGAGAGTAATTTAAATGAATGAAATCTGAAAGTGATTCTTTTGCATAAATTGCTACTTCTGTAAATGTAACCTTCAAGAAGAAAATTGCGCAAGTGAAAATCTCCTTGGAGAAGAAGCATTGCATTATATAAAAAGGAAGCTGTGTTCTGAGCCCAAGAATGAGTATGTTCATGAATACTGTCACACTTGTCATAGCATGGCTTTAGGGTACATAATTGTTCACTATCAAATGAACAGCAAATGTTAATAGTGTTAAAGGCATTAACAATATCACATCCATTTTTAAATTGCCCTCTGTTCTGTTTCAGTTTGTGATGTATTGATTCTATGCAAATGCAGCTTATTTTCCAGTGTACACAGAAAAAAAGACTCAAAAACACTGAAGCTATCCCTCCAGTCACTATTTCATCTTTATGATTCAACACCAAGATCAGTGTTTCCACATTCTTGCTTTCTTCTCCCTGCCCGAATACTCAGATGTCAGTGACAAGGAGTAGCCCAGGCTCGGGTGCGTACCAGGTGGAACATGCCTGCTCACTGCAGTAGGGAAGGGTGGCCCTCAGTTGTAATGAAGAACTTAGATTTTGCAAAAGGGAGGTATTAATAAAACAAAAATTAAAACAAAGGGACAAATACCTCCTGCATCTGATTGCCATCCAGGGCCAAGACTTCCAGCTTTTTTCGTAGTGGATATTCCTTTAGGTATCTTATCAAAGTAATTTTCATTCAGATCCTGACACTGGTGAAGGACACAGGTACTGTGCGCAGTTCGGTGTTCCTCAGATAAACGCGGGCAAGGGACGGCCGGCAGCAGATCTGGTGTGGGAACTGCTCCAGGCTGTTGACAGGCAGTCTGAGTACTCTCATTTCAGTGAGATGCTTCAAACCTGGGGGAAGCTTGTGCAGGAGATTATGAGACAGATCCAGCACAGCCAGCCTCTGGCAGTGTTGCAGCGTAGAAGGAATGGAGGGTAAGTTATTAAAAGCTAAAAATACCTTAACTAAGTTTACCAAAAAGCCTGCCTCTTCTGGAATAAGACTGATTTGATTTTTTTCCAGATCTATTGTTTCTAAATTAGCAATATGACAAAGTTCCTTGGGAAAACTTTTAAATCTGTTTTTTCTGGAGGTAAATTTCCTGGAGTTTTGTCAGGTTCACTGTTTCTTTAGGCAGACACTTGAGATTATTGTGAGAAAGGCCAACCAGTTCAACATGATGGAGGTATTCACAGATCTGCACTGGGATTTCGTGCAAGTTTGTTTTATGGAGCCTAAGCTGACAAAAGAACTGCAACTTGCTGATAACTAGCAGCAAACTACAAGGGAGGAGGTTGTTACCTAAATCTGAGCTCAGAAAACATTTCAACTCCCCCAGTTCTTCACATGTGTCCTGTATGTGATTCTGATCCAAGTAGAGGATCTTCATGTGCCTCAGGTGATTGATGTCTCTGGGGATGCTTGCAGTTGGGTTCTTTTCCATGTGCAGCTCTTCCAGATATTCTAGACTCAAGATCCCAGCAAGATAGTTTGCAGTTGCTTGTTGGCTAAGTCAATGAAAAATATTGTGACTATGACGTGTGTGGGAGAAGGAGCTTCATTCTCTGGCACTTCATTCACTGGGGTATTCCTAGTGCAGTCTGATCGTGGCCATCCTCGAAACAGAGTCAGCTTCAGGGCAGAGAGTGGCCTCTGCGTTGGTCTCCTGGCTCTGCTGAGACTCAGCCATCTCTGCTCCTTTATTTTTAGAAGAGAAAAAAATAAAAAAATCAACAGTACTCAAAGACCTTCCAATGCTAAATAAATGTCAGAATTCAGTGTTTAGGGACAGGTTCTAGTCTGAGTTGTAACCCTGCAAAAAGCTGCTTGTGTTCAGTGAGATCAAGCCCTGCAGTACATACAGCAGGACCGTGTCTCTGAATCCCAGTGCGTCCTGAAGTGCCCCAACAGCCACATTCAGAGGGTGACCTGGTGAAGCTGATGGAGCTGGACAAAGCAACATTCTTGAGTCTTGAAGGCTTGTATTCACAAACACTGACTGAGATCTCTCTTCGGCTGCGCTGATTGTAAAACGGGAAGAGTCCTACTGCAAAAAGGTGACACCGCCTTCTGTAACACTTTGGGGTTTCTGAGCCAGAGAGGTGCCAATGAATCTGGTGTTTACTAACCCTTGAAGTTGTGCTGTTACTGATAGCGAAAGAGTGAGAAGTGCAAAGAGGCAACTACCTGAGCAACCTCTGATGTCTGGACGGAAGACACCCTGCAGCTGGCATTTAAGGAACGATAAGAGAGAAAGCAGAGGTGGAGAGGCAGCTATCAGTTGTCTCCTACCTGATGCCCTTTTCTCTGCTGCTGTACCTGTGCTGGGAGGACATCACATTTCCAGAGATGGATGGTTTCCAGGTGCCATCAGGACAGGGAGGAAGAACAGAGCAACCACCATGAGAGACCCATGCTGAGCTTCCCAGTCTAATTCAGATGCTGTACAAGGGCATTTTCTTTTTTATTGTCTCCAAGTTGAGCCACACACATGGTGGGACAGGAGAGCGTGCGGTCCCAGCCCAGCCCCTTCTGCGCACAAGGGCAGTAGTGAAGCCGCTAGAAGGGTTGATTCGGTGGGAAAGACCGGCACAGGCACATTTGCAGTAACTGCTAATCCGTGTAACCATGGAAATTTTTGCACGGGCTCCTTGGAGACTGTGGGCAGACCACAAAGTAAATACTCTGGGGGTGAGCTGACAAATCTCTCTGTCACCCCCCACAGAAGCCAGGCACCACAGAGGTGGCCAGGCTACCTTCTGCACTCGCTCTCTCTTGGTGGAGAGCCTGGGACGCCCTCCTTGGAAACAGGCTCCGTTACCAAACATTATTTACCTTGGAGCTCGCCCGTGGGCTGGTCACTGCAGGTTGACACGGGGAGAAGGTGCAGGCATTGATTGCTCAGGTAGGCCTGTGGAATATTAATTCTCTGCTAGCTCAGATCCCACGTGATGGCAGATCAGAAACACGTCCACAAGACCACATTTTTTCCTTGAGCTTTTCCTGTCTGTCTGTATTTCTCTGTTATTCTTGTGTTGCATACCGAGAGTTGTAACCCTTTTCCGACAACACCCATTTTTGTTGTTATGCAGAGCCCAGCACAGCGGCGCTTGGGTCCATGGTGATGTTGCTAGGCTGCCTTAACAATGCAGTAACACTTTGTTTTGTTTTGCAGCAGGTCATGTCTGTTCGTCCAGATCTTCACCAGCACTATGTGCGGGCCTGCCAAGACTTGGGCCAACCTGAAAACGCCTTCATTGCTCATCTGCTTCAAGAAGCTGACAAAAATGATAAAATGTAAGGAAATAACAAACAGTGTGTTTCAGATGCTTCTGAAAGCCTTAAACAAGATAGCAGGACAAGGAAATAACAATGAGAAAGTTCATGCAGTTTCAGGCTTAAACACAAATCATATTTAGCATTTACTGCTGAAGTTCTGGTTTGACTCATCTTGACATCATCTTGGCAGACGTCTGTGGCTATATATCCCTTCTGGGCAGCTTTACAAGCAGTGAAATAAAAAAAAGTGAAAAATGTACAGGATGGTGCCTTTGTGTCCCTTAAAGAAGCCAAACCCAGTGTCTACTCATCCTAACTCCCTTCCTTTTGTCACACTCCTGTTTAAAAAGCCTCAGCTGCATCCAGTTAAACTTCCAGCTGGTAGTGCTTCCTTGAGCTGTCTCTGAATCCTGCCAAGGTATTAACCACCCAAATTCTCTCTCATGATGTAGTTAGGTAGGGCTTTTCCTCTCATGGAGGCTTCTGGGGTCAAAGTTAATTGTCCTTTGGAGAGAAAACCCAAGAACATACAGCATAGTAAAATGGTTTGTGTTAGGTTTTGATCCTGAGGGTAGGATAGAGTAAATAAAGGGAAGAAGTAAATAGGAGATGATGAGGTAACCCCCAGGATAGACTTTCTCTCTATGTGCCTTCTGATCTCACTGCTTCCTGCTTTCTGTGCATGTGTGCTAAGCATGGTCTTGCAGCTGTGCAGTGTCTTCAGAAGATCGAAAGGGACAGTGCTGAGGTACAGCTTGAACCACGTTGTCTGTCACGGTCTTACCAAAGCTAGCGGCAGCAGCTAACCGCACGCAAACATGTCAGTGAGGGCAAACATGGATACACTTCTGATCTGGAGAGAGAATTCCTTTTTCTGTATTGTTTTACTTCTCCCCATGTGCTTACATTTTTATGTTACAGCAGATGGGCAAAAGGGATCACATTAAAAATAGCTGGAAATGATCGTCTGGTGCCTGTGCAGAGAGTTACAGATGATGATCTTAAAGTTCTTACCTCTGTCTTACCCAACACTGTATTTGTCACAGGTAAGCTTTTTTCATGTATGTTTGACATTGCTGTGCTAATATAAGGAAACACAAACAGTCTTGATTTCAGCATTAATTAATCTTTATTTCTTTTTGTTTAGAGATCAGTTAATTGTAAATAGGCATCTGTTACATTCTTCATTCTTCATCTTTTTCAGGTTTGGATCTTAGGTGTAATGTATTGACTGATGCTGGAGCAAAGCACATGGCAACATTCCTCCAGGTTCCAAAATGATGTTTATCATTCAGCAACTTGTAATTTATTTGGCTATAATAATATTCTGTGGTAAATTGGAGACAAGAATGCATTGGCATGGCAAAGTTCCATTAATTTTGACTTTCACATCCAAATCCATCCCACTAGAATCTCATATTGAATTCTTTGGGGAGATTTTTAATTTCTGGTAGAAGAGTGTTAGACGTTTGGCTAGGAGGTCATGAAGAAATAAGTGTGGAATAAACCGTGGGGCTTTTAGGCTTACAGTTCAGTTCAACAAAGGAGGTAATGGTAGTGTCAAGTGTTCCAGGGCCTTTGTTTTATGTACTTTATCATCTCTGTTAGCCTTTTTGTATGTCTAAACATAGGAAACTTTAATGCTGCCTTTTGGTCATTGTGAGCCCCGGAATACAGACAGAAAATGGTGAGTTGCCACTCAGTGCCTGTGTTCCTGGAGCTCAGGGAGTGCCATTAAGTTCACAAAATGCCTCAAGGTCTGTCTGCATCTGAGCTTCAGCCCCTGCCTCGTTTGGTCATGCTGAGCACGAGTCAGCACGGGTTCCCAGGAGGTTTTTGTAAGCCCCAAGAGGACCTACACACTATGTGTTTTTCTGCCTTTCCATCACCATCTGATGTACTTTGGCTTTCTTTAATTACTTCTCCAAATCAGGGGCTGCCTGAAATGCAGCGAAGGACAGAGATTTTAAGTATGTGTATGATGCATCTTTGTTTTTGAAAAATGCAGGCGTGCTCTGGAAAGAAGTCTCATTACTTTCTGCTTTGTTTGTTCCTAAGGAAAACGCCACTCTGCGGTACCTCAACCTGATGTTTAATAATATTGGCACAAGTGGAACAGAGCTGATAGCAAGAGCACTCCACGTGAGTATTTGCCTGGGAGGTTTAGACAATGGCATCTAGTTTGCTATTTTTGCTTTTGATGAGCAGTACTCGCTGTCCTGCCAACATCAGAGCCGGCTGAAGGGGCCCTCTGTCTTCAGTCCATTCAGCATTTTGCGCTATCACAGGGATTGCTTGTTTTCACAAGGCAGACTTCAGAAATCAGATTTCACACAAGAGAAAGTTGCATTGTGCTGCCGTTAACACTTAATTACCGCAGCTATCACAGCTGGATTTTTCTGTGTGAAAAATGCTGTGCCATAGGATATATAATGCCATCAGTTTTTTCCTTTTTTTTTTTTTTCGAAAAAAAAATGTATTTAATTTGCCTGCACCTTGGTGTCAATATTTGTCTTGATTCGAGTTGCCTGAGACATGTTTTCAAAACATTGCCTTGCAGCAGCAGCATAAAAACATGTTTGGCATTTGCAGTGTGGTTTCCCAAGGAAATGAGGCTTGTGTGTAAGATTTGTTGTGTTTGTGAGCTCTTTCCTCCTCCTTCGTAGTCTTTGAACCCTGAACTGATTTCAGCTCAGTTTGCCAGGCCTCCAAATCGCTGAGGTCATACAGTCAATGGTACAACACCGAGCTCTCGAGCAAGCCCCAGAGCTGGCTGTGCCGCCCGTGGCAACGTGCTCTGGGTTTGCTGCAGGGGCTCCGGCCAGGCTGGGGGACCTGGGGGAGGAGGGGGGTCTTGCTGAGGGAGGGAGAGGAGAGCAGATGCTGTAGCCAGGTAGCATAGCAGGGACAGGGGTGCTGGGGACGTCTGGAAGACAGAAAAGCCGCGTGAAACCAGGCTTCATTTGTTCTGCTGCTCGCAGAACTACTTTTGTAATCACTTAATCAATTGTAATCTCTGATAATGAGTGATTACGGTGGTACTGAGGAATTAAAAACACAAAACTACTCTGCACTGCATTTAGGGCTTTAACAGTGGATGGATATTGCACATCCATTGCAGTTCTGTGGGGAGTGAGGGGAAAGATGCTGACTTTTCTAGACCTCTCATCAGAACTTTTTATTGCCGGTGAAGTTTCCAGTCCAGCAAAGACTTACACACTGGTTTGACTCTGCACCCAGCAGTCCTACCGAAGATGACCGGCCTCACTGAGCTGTGACTGGTCATGTGGTTTAAAAACGTCTGAAAAATAAAGCGAATTATATTCTTGTTTAAAATACACTTACTGGATTTAAATCAGTTGTGATATAATTTGGAATTCAGCTGCCAATTTAGGCAGAAATACCTGCCTGGATTATTTTAACGCGTGTGAAATTTGTGAACTTGGGAGAAACAAAAGTTTTCAAATATTCAAGTTTTTCTTCCAGACTCTCATGCGTTTGATTCCACAGAGGGGAGCCTGAGCCAGCTGCTTGGTCAGTGTTACCACTCAGACACAGTTCTGCTGGAGGGAGGTTTTGTCTGTGTGTGACAACCAGCAGGATTCACAGGAGAACGGACAGGGTTGTTTTTCAGACCGTTTCAAAGTCACTGATTTTTTTTTTTTTTTTTTTTTTAAAGACTGCTTTGTCTAGAGGAATGAAACACTTGAGTATTTGAGAATGACTGGAAACAAAATAGGAAACAAAGGTGGAATGTTCTTTGCTTCAATGCTACAAATTAATTCCACCTTAGAGAGGCTGGATCTTGGAGACTGTGATATGGTGAGTAACCCAGTAAAATTATCAGCAATGACAGAAGTCTTCCAAGGGTATTACAAAGGTCCTGCAGTGCTTAATTAGGGGGAAATGCCATCTGTTGTCATTGATTTTACATTTTGTGATAGCTGGGGGTAACACAATATGTCATATTGCAATGCAGACTCGGAAAGGCGTGTTGCATAAAACACCTGCGAAGTTGTAACAGATGACCTGTTACAGTCACGGTGTCTCTGGGAATTCAGGTGCTTGGCGCTCACGTTTTCCAAGGTTTGTTTCCGCTCTTCACTTCTCTTACACTAAGCCCTGTGTAATTTGTGTTGAAGAAAGGACTTCTGACTCCTTGGAGGTTCTTTTCCTTCTGAAGTGTGCAGTGCTGTAACGCCTGAAAGTCACCCGGTCCCACAGCTCTGTTGCTCCTGTCAGAGCCTGATCCATAAGGGACACAGGCACAGGAGTGCTGAATGGGGTAGAAAGGCACCCAATTTGACCTCAGATAACTGGCTGCCTCCTAGGCTGGGTGCTGAGACTTCTTACACAGCGCACAGGGAAGGTCGCTGCGCTAAGCAGAGTGCTTCCCACTCTGGCCAGTAAAAGCCTGTGGGCAGCTGTTAAAAACCTGTGGGGTACAGCAGGAGGTAGCAACCGGAGCTGAGAACCTCCTCCCATTGCAAGATCGCAGCGCCTGACTGGTGGGATCCCTCGTGGGATCATGTCGGAGCGGCTGGAAGGTGGAAGTGATTCTTTCCCTGCCTGGGAGAATTTGGTCCTGTATCTTGCCCTCCAGGAGAACACTCTAACCAAGCTAAAAGTGGAATTAGGATGGGCCACTCCCAGCCTTCCCCTTAAGGGTGTTCATCTTCTCAGGAGATGATGACGTGTATGTAGGGCAGGAGGAGTAAGTCTGACTGTAACCGACCAGTATGACTGTCACCTGGGGGCAGGGAGAGCGCTGGGGTCAGAGGAAAACGTAATGCTAGGAAACAAACATAGTAACAGAATTTTCTCCTAAACTTGAAGGGCGAATACTTCTCAGACACTGTGAAGGGTGCTATGAAAACATAAACAAGGAGAGCGTAGCCAGTGTAGGATTTATTTGAAAGCTTAATATGTTTGTGCTTGGTAGGGTGTTTACAGAACACTGAGTTAAAATGAAATAGCTTTGGGTATAGACCAGTCTAATTGGAAAATAATGTGAATACAAATTAGTGAACAAATGAGAAGGAAACACAAAAATCTGAACTGGCCTGTATTCTAGACTCTCACTACTCTGTACCATTTTAATTCACATTTAGTATGAACTTACCCAGTGGATAAATGTTACCTAAGAGTTTTACCAAAGACCTGAGGGAACACATACAAGCTAATTTTAGTTCATAAATCAGGAAAACCAAAATACAGGATCAATTAAATGGACGCGTGTCTTTGAGATGCATTATTCCTGATTTTTATTTCTGACTTGCCAGATTTCCTGGTCATTTGTACTTTTTAGACTAATTCCACTCTATTATTCCATAGGGAGTTGGCATTGGTATTATCAGAAAATACATTGTGTCTGTAAGCACTTGCCTGCTGCACTTGAGTCTCTCCAGAGCACATGGAGGCAGAAATAATAGTATTTCCAATCTGAATGGTTTTGATCTTCTTACAATCAATTCTAAGAAGTCATGGTAATTTTGTAGCTTAATCTATACGTTGGACGGGTTTCTCTAAAGAGTTGGTTTATTTTCATTTGCAGGGTATGCAGTGTCTAATAGCGATAGCAACAGCCCTGACTCAGAACAAATCAGTCAAAGCAATAAACCTAAATCGTCCTTTACTCTACAGCCAGGAGGTACGTAAGCAGACCGTAGTGTCAGCTCAGTCAGAGAGAGACACGTAAGTCAGGTCAGTACTGATATATTTATGAACATCTGAACGACACGGCTCTCTGGGTTGCTTTACAAAGTGAAGTAAGTGCTTGCAGAAATATTCTTTTTCTGTGCCAAGTTTTGTGCAGTTGCAGGCTGCCCCTGTTTAACTAGAATGTTATTTTTTAAAAAAATTTCTTTCGTGGTACCTATGCATTTGTTAAATAAAGGGCTAGCGGAGAGGGCTTGGTATTGGAGAACCAAGTATTCCTTCTGCTGTTACAGCATGGAGAGTTTCATGCAGCGTTCAGCAAACTGAGGGAGAAAAAATGCTGTTTAGGAGGAAATGAGGGGAAGAACCAAAGCCTGCTGTTTGTCTGAGCAGCGCGGTACATGGGCATTGCCAGAGCCCGCAGCCTGACGAGGAAATGCACGCTTCAACAGCACGCCATACTCACTGGGCTGCGTGGTGTTGCCATTTCACTATGTGAACCTGAAGCAGGAATTTAACGAGTGAACGAACCTTGCCGATGTGAAGCCCATGATGCATTCATTCGCCAAAACAAAGGCACAAACACTCCAAAGCAAGAGAATCTGCACAGCAGTGTTTGCTGGGGCAGCACCAGAGGCAGAGGTGCCCAGAGCCGCGGGGCTCTTGCTCGCAGGGACGCAGCTCTGCCCGGATGGTGGCTGCAGAGCTGGTCGCGGTGGTGGCTTCACGGGGCTGGCAGCACTTCAGGTGTCTGCGACGGGTGCAGCATGTTCCTGATGGCAGGGGAAAGAAAGGCCAGGTCTTCCTCAGTTCCCAGAGGTGAATGTAACAGTTTGAACAGATCTGAGCTGTTTCTTTTCTACTAAGGCAGGGCTTGATCTGCCTAAACCTGGTTTTAGAAAGAAATTTAAACTATTGCTACTGAAAATATGGGCCATTAAGGGCCTGGTCTGTATCTGTGGGAGACTCTATTTGCCATTGTTACCACTTCCAGCTCTATCATTTCTGAGGCCTCTGGGTTGCTGCCTTATTTTTGACTCACAGTATTCACTCAGTTATTTTCTTAACTAAACGTGACAACTTCAAAACGAACTTACTTTGTGTTACAATGACAGAACATATTTTTTCACACAGCTATCCCGTTTCTTTTTATGAAATAATAGATTAGCGTCATGACAAAATACTTTTAATAGTAGTGAAGACATTCAGGTTTTTAAGAGCAATGACTGGGAGGACAACTGATTAGACATGATGATTCAAACATCGATGCTCCTGATATTTGCAGGGATGTGTATAGTGCTGTAAATCTGCAAAGATCTTGCTGGTATTTTTTTTTTTTTTCCAGCTTTATCATAACATATTGTTCCTGGCTATTTTTAATACAAAGCTGCAATATACAAAATAGGACACTACTGAAGACCAAATCTTGCTGTTAGTTGTGCATCTCCCTTTTGTTGAAGCAAGACCATATCTTATCTGAAAGTACAACTTAATAAAACTGAGTGTGTGTTTTTAGGAAGAGACCACAGTTCATATAGCTCTGATGTTGAAAAATAACTCTTCTCTTGTGGAACTACATTTGTGCAAGCACGAAATGAAAAACTTCGGTGTGGAGCGACTGTGTGAGGCGTTGTATGAAAACTCCAGCCTGAGATACCTTGATCTTGGCTGGTAAGCATTATTACATGACATAGCCCTGACTAACATTAGAAACTCATTTTCTTTGCACTCTTTTAAAAAAATTTGTGCATCTCTCTTTCAGTAATAAAATAACCCGCGATGGTGTAAAATTTTTGGCAGAACTACTAAAACGGAACCGAACCCTGGAAATCCTTGATCTTGGCGCCAACCGAATAGAAGATGATGGAGCCACTGACCTGAGCGAAGCCTTGGCTTTGTACAACAGGACTCTTCAGGCGTTAGTATTTACCCAACCTCCCCCGAGCCTGCGGCTGTAATGGCTCAGAGCGTAAGAAGCTCGAGCTTTGCAGTGGCTGGACTGACATCAGAACTGCGTGCTTTGATGTTACCGGTCAAGTTGTTCCAAACTTCTAAGTCCATTTTTCTTTCTCAGGAAAAAAAAAAGAAGGACTGGGTGGGATTCCTTTGCCTAAGCACAGGTGTCTCCTGCCACTGGGGATGCCCCAAGACCCCAAGCTGCCCTGGGGTGCTGGCAGGGGACCCTAGGGTCCTGTCAGAGCCTGGCAGCTGGGACCAGGCTGGTCGGGTGGCACAGGAGTGTGGGTAACTGAATGAAGTCCCCTGTAGCTTCACATGAGCTAAAGGGGTAAACCACACGGCCAGGACGTGCCACCCAGTCCCACGTGCTAATGCCCCGCGTTCGCCTTCCTGCGCTGCCAGCCCTGCTCATCCCTCCTTTTATCCCCTTTTCCTTCTAATTCCTTTTGTTCAGCTTGTATCCGTTGCTGCGTGGCCTGATGTGGCTTGTTCCTCTGTGTCAGGGTTTTTTGGGGTTGATGCTGCGATCAGTTTCGTAGTGGTTCATTTTACCTGTGATGCAGAGCTTTTACAGTCATCTGAAGGGCCGAGTGTCTGGGGAGAGGCAGTCAGAGCTTGCTGGTTCTTTGTGCATCTCTAACGCACTGGTCCCCATGGTGCACAAGCACAAACAAACCAAGAGCTGTACCTCTTCAGAATTTTAAGATAATCAGATTCCACGCAGGCCTAAGGCACTGTATTTGTTGATTTGATCTTCAACACTTAAAAAGAATCCTCTGTTTCAGTTAGCATCCAGGTGAGCCCAAAGAGCTGTAATCTCTCCATCAGGGTGCAGTGTGTAGCCCGCATTAAATCCTGCACCGGCAGGATGTAAAAGCTGATCAAAGGTGTTACCTGAAGCCATTGGTTTTAAGTAGCAGTCAGAAGAGGTGGCGGCTGCTAGGTGCCTCTGAAAGCCTTCCAGGTTCGCTAATATAAAAATAACTGCCACTCCACAAAGATCAAAGCTTAGCCTGGATGAACGCCAAAGCTTGGGCTTCAAAGCAGGCTAGGGATGAGACCTGGCCACCACGCAGTAACTGAAGAACCGAACAGTGACCAACCTGGCTGCACGAGTCATGGGAACGCTGTGAGAAAGTCTACAAGGCCAGAGTCCAAACTGCCTTTAGCAGCCTGGAAAAGATTTTGTAGTAGGGCTGGACTAGATACAAATAAATAATTACATTATTAACAACAAATATAAAATTTTGATATACATATATGATATATAATAGAGTATAATAATAAGATATAAGAATAAGCCACAGTTAAACTCTTACTTTTAACTAAGAGATGGGAATTCCGTGGTTTGGCATGCATTTGCATGACTATTTTCTCTGCTTATTAGGTTGTCAGTAGTAAGCAACAATGTAAGTGGCCAAGGACTTGTAGCTCTCTCGGATGCGATGAAAACAAACACGGAACTTTCCTATATTTACATTTGGGGGAACAACTTTGATGAAGCCACCTGTACTGTAAGTGTTTGCTTCTAAACTCTTCTGAGGGTTGGGTTTTGTTTGTTAGGTCTAATTGTTTTTACAATCATTGGTAAGGCTACAGCAATTGGTGAACAAGACACCTGATTTACTCTGTTTTTTTAAAAATAATTATAGTATGGTGGTGCTGCAATGAGACTCACTGGCCATCAGCATACCCATCAAGTATTTGCCTATTGTGTGTTAGCTTCTAGAGCCTTCACTGCAGTCAAAGGGGAATATTATATGTCAGATTCTCGTTCTTCTTAATTCCAGGCATTTTCAGAATTAATTAAGACAGGCCGCTTGAAACCTAATTGTACGGACGTGGAACCGTATGAAGTGGACGGGCACGTTCACCTCGCAGAGCTCTCCCACGGCCTCCGGAAGCATTACTACTGGACGCCTAGTTGTGGGGAGGTGACAAACAAGGACGCTAATGCCAGCCTGGCGATTGCAGCGGTTTCAGAATACTTGTGAGGCAGCAGCTTGGTGCACTCCATACGCTCGAGCTTTTCCTATCTGGTTTCTAGTAAAATAGATTATATCAGCATCAGACTTGCTGCATGTTGTTTCTTCAGGGTGTTTAGTCTAGAAGGAATCTAAAAGTGCTTGAAATGGCATTAGAGATAAAATATCAAACCAGTGACCTTAAAACTTGTTGCTAAACATGACCAAGCTATTAAAAGCCTATTAATATGAAAATGCATTAATTTTGCTGCAGTTATTTCTATTGCACACTATCTCCTTTGCCTTACCATGACAGATGTAGTTCCAGGGTTCCCAGGTGACAGATGAATTTACTGAAATAAAATGTTAAGAGGAAAAACATCTTTGCCATGGCACAGGGCACCAAGAGCGATACTAGGTATTCTCGGCAGTTACGGGGAGCAGCACAGTCACTGACCAGAGGCGTGTGAAGAGCTCAGCCCACAGCAGTGCAGACCCATGAACCAAACGCCTCGCAGCTGAACGCCTCTGCTCTATTCAGGAGACCTTCTCAGACCAGGTTCTTTAACAAGCACTTTGTGTTTAGACAAGATGCAGGGGCTGGTTCAGAGCAGCAGCGGTGCCCACGGACGGAGCATCACGCCCACAGGCTCCTCTTCCCCAGGGCTGCTGCAGAGGAAGAGCTGTGGTCGCCTGCCCGGCCATGGTCTCTGCAGTCAGGCTTCCCCGCAGCAGGGAGAGCCCACAGGTAACACCGCCGCGTCTCCGCAGGCGGGGGCACCGCCGGGGCCCTCGACCCAACCAA